GTATTGAGGATCTCTACAACCCTATATAACTACTTTTGACTAAAATACATCAAAATAAAATCCATAATTCATAAAATAAGTCTAAAACACTACACTTCCATTTTACCCTTTGACTCAAAAGTGCAAACCGAACTATTAGGTCACATATCTATATTACCCATATCCAAATGCACCTAAATATTACCTTTTTAAAGGCCCTAATCCTTATGATGATCGCTCTTTAGGCCACAACCTCGAATTAGAAATTAATTCGGAACAGGGCGTTACAACTCTCCCCCACTTAAAGTATATTTCACCCTCGAAATCATTCACTACCATCCCCAGCATACCAGACAACCTGAGAAACATGTCCACAATCCTGTGAATACCACAGCCTTCCCAAGGAAACCAAAACCAACCAAACCAAACTCTTTCTAATCCCGACTTAGGATAAATCCTTCGTCTCATGCAGGAAACTATTTCTGCCTCCCCGGATCCTTAAACCTCACATTTGTCTGACTCCGCAGCAGACCTCCCACACTGGAACCATACCGTACAACATTCCTTCATGGATAACTGATCGAACAACCACTTCTACTCTTGATTATCTCAGTGTTACCAATCGAATGAATTCACTTACCATGTCCAGATGTCGAACGCTCGTCTTAACAGATAGTCCAAATAACCCTTCGATTAGGGGATCCATCTTTGCAATGGTGTCAAATCGATTACTCTGAGATTATTTAATTCCACTGCAAGTGGCTTAGCATCTCTCTTTCAATGAATATTCCACATAAGGATACAATCACTATCATTACTCGAAACACCATATCGCCGTCTAGCTGCTTTTCATAGCAACCATGAATTCCCCGGATCCCAATCTTGTCTGCAACTATCTGAAATATCGGATTCCTGCCCGGTTGCTGAGCCAACAAGCAACCTTGCATTCACCCCACGCGACCTCTGAAGGATACCTCGTATGACAATAATGGCCCTATCTATACCGCCACTGATGGCTCCTTCAATCATTTTGATCCATCCAATCATGATAGGCTGAAAACATGTCGCCACTGAATCCAATGCAATAAGGTGAATGCTACCAGTACCATTGTAGTCTTACATCACGCCTGGTCTCCAACGACCTACCATTTCCTGAATCTGATCGTATTGTGGCTTACTCACATTCGTGCGGTTGACCCACCCTGGCCTAAATCATATGAAGGAATCCGTGAGTAAATCACAAATCTGACATTCTTATATCGATTAGGGACCGGTGAATGCTACGGGACACACCGCGGCCTTACAATACTCCCATGCTAACTGAGCACTAGTCAATGCTGCGAGCCTCCCCCGCAATCTTACTATACCACTATACTAACGACTAACTAACGAATGTTACAGGCCACCCAACAATCTTAGAACTTTTCTACTTTATTTTCCATTTATTGAATGCTACGGGCCACCCTGCAGTCTCACAACACCTCTACTCTATCTGCCAACTAGTTAATGCTACAGGCCATACCACAGTCTTACAACACTTCCACGCTACCTGCTAACTAGTGAATGCTACATGCCACCCCACAGTCTTAAAACACTTTTACCCTACCTGCTAACTAGTGAATGCTACGGGCCACCCTGCAGTCTTACAACACTTTTACACTGTCTGCTGACTAATGCTACGGGCCACCCCACATTCTTACCACATTCCCCATGCTATTTGGCCACTGGTGAATGCTACAGCTATCCTGCAGTCTTACATCAGTTCCCACGCTAACTCAACCGCTGACCATGGTCTTACTGCTGATTACCAATCTGAATACACCCAAAGTCGAGCACACACTAGGTCTAACATCCCACACTAAACTCATATCCTGACTGGGATCCTCAACCTGGTTCCCCATAATCTACTAAACATCAATCAGATGTGGTCCCAAAGCTGGGAAGTTTCCCAAACTTCCAATTCACATTATCCCCCATACAGGCAGCCACTTGGGCCACTTTTTCGTTCCCAATGGGGATACAAGCTCATCCCAATTTCACGCTTGCTTTTGTCCTAGGTACCTGAATGGTTCTCCCCCACTTCGATTCGACTAAGTCTCCACGGCATATGAGAAATGGAAGGATTTCTGATCCTTTCTGTCCTGGGTACCTATGTTGTATAAATGTATTAATTTTTATAATTGTTTTATATTAAACTATGAATAGGTAAATTAATATGTTTTTTAAATTATGGATATAATATTTAAATTGTAAATTTTGTATTAAGTTGTGAATTTTCTGTATTGACCTATGAATTAACTATATTAAGAGTTTAATTTGATAATACGATTGTGAATGCATACTTTTTGTGTACTAAATTTAGAATTTATTGTATTAATATATGAATTTTGTGTATTAAGCTGTGAATTTTGTGTTTTAAGTTGTAAATTAATTGAATTAAGCTATGGATTTTATGTTTAAGTTGTAAATTGACAATATTAAGTTCTTAATTTTATGTATTAAGCTGTCATTTTTATATTTTAAATTATGAATTAACTACATTAAGCTGTAAATTTTATGTTTAAACTATGAATTGACTATATTAACTGTGAGTTTTTTGTTTAAATTGTGATTTTTGTGTTTTAAACTATGAATTGACTTCATTAAGCTAATCATTTTCAGTTTAAACTATGAATTAACTCTATTAACATGTGGATTGTTAATGAATTTTGTATTAGAATATGAATGATTTATGTATGAATGTATTAATTTCTTGTGAATATATTTATTTTTTGTATAGTATACATCTATAAGAATGTATTAGTTTTTATAACTATTTTGCATTAAACTCCTAATTAGTGAATTAATTAGCTAATTAAACTATGAATATAATATTTATACTATGAATCCATCATTTTACTTACATATATGATTTGGAATGATGAATGATTTTGATGGTGACATAGGTGGTTGGTGATGGTTGTGGTAAACTTTGAGTTTTACTTCTCTTAATATGTAAAATAGTGGATAATGGATTGTATTAAATTGTAAATTTTATGTATTAAATTGATAATGGACTGTATAAGTTGTGCAATATATATAAATTTTATGTTAAAATATAATTAAATGCATGCATGAAAATAAAGAATGTGAATTAGGGAATTAATATTTTATTAAAGTGTCGATATGTCATATAAAGGATATTTTGTTTTAAAGAGATTTACAAGTCAGAAGAGGGAAAATTGAGTTTATCAAGGTATTTCCATTTTTTTATTAAATTTTTTATATTTGCTGCAAAAATAAAAATGTATGTGTTAAAAAGTATTACTAAAGAAATATGAGTTAAATTGTTTGTTCTATTAAGCTGTGAATACAACCAGAAAAATATCACTGAATTTCTTACTCTAACGATGGTTCGATGATGGTCTAACAGCTATCCAATGGAGGTACTACGACAAATGACAACTAGCTGTAAACTTGAGAGTGGAAAAGTTTGTTTAGTATAATATTAATATTTGATTTTTCCAAAGTGCTTTTAATGAAAACATTTAAATAAAAAGGTTCTTAGGTTCTTAACATTTTTTTGGTTATATATATATATATATATATATATATATATATATATATATATATATATATATATATATATATATATATATATATATATATATATATATATATATATATATATATATATATATATTCGAAAAGAAAGTGCCTTTGAAAAAGAAAAAACTCGCCATTAATAATTAATATCGTCTAACATGAATATGAACCAAAATGCATATTTTACATTTTTACTCATACTTCTACTCCAACTTATATAATTATTAATCCATCATTTTTTAAACCAGCAAGCTTTGTAAAACTTGGGTCTTAAACGAAAGCTGACATATCTACAAAATGTTGCATACTTATTTAGTGTACACTTATTTTTTTTTGTAAAATTAACTTTTAACACATCACTAAATTTTTTAATAGCATTTTACTATTTTGAAATCCAACTTGCATGCACAAAGAAATTAGGTTATGTGAAAAAGTAACACTTAATGTAGGTCCATAAGTCAAAATTGAGAGTGTTTTTTAGATTAGTTAAAAGCAGTGTTGTAAAAAGTCCGATTAGGTTTCGATTAATCCTTAAGCGCTAGCTGTTCAAAAAAAATGACATTACTCTTTACCTATATAATGAGTGAAACAGTAAAAACCAATGAAATTTTAATACTTTGAAATAGTTATATCTCAATAGAAACTATTTAAGAGAACATTAATATTGTATTAATCATATTAATCTATTTGTTATGATAATAGTAGTATTTACAAACTTTGTTATGATATTAATCATACTTAATTTTTTAAAATTCAACAAATTATTAATTTATGGTCCCTGATTTATCCCCGTCTAGCTAATTAATCCCATAACACCAACCAACCAACTAGCGTTAACGTTTTTTACAACCTTGGTTAAAAGTTAAAACCAAAACACACCACCAAATTTATACATTTTGAGGGCAAAATGGTCAAAAATGGCCTCAAACAGCCATAGATAGTATATATCTGAACAACTCACTTGGGAACTCAATCATAAAACACTACTAATACATTGTATGTGTCAGGTTTTGAACCCTAGATATTATATATCTTGTACATATATATTTTCTAACTAAGATGCATTTAAATAAAATGTAGAAAAAGTTTCAACCAACTTTTTTTTATCCATTTTAACCGATTTGAACGCTATGAACAAAATACAATGGGTTTAATTTAATCATATAAAGAAGGTGAGTTATTAACAAAATACAATGGACATTTTTATAATCATACACATTACATGATAGATACATCCATACAGAGCTTATCTTATCATTCAGACGCGACCATTATACAAGAAAACCAATACAAGAGTTTTGCAACACCTTAACACAAAAGCTATACCTTTTTTTTATATATATATATATATATATATATATATATATATATATATATATATATATATATATATATATATATATATATATATATATATATATATATATATATATATTTTGCCATTAAGAGGTGACTGAATGGTTTTGGTGTTGGTTGTTTATAAGCGTGGTGCAGGGCGTGCCCGGGGTGCATCCCATTCAGTGACAATGTGGTCCCGAGTAATCTCTCTGAGTGAAGTACAACCACTTAATGCCATTGTTAGTTCAAACTCCTCACGTAACATCTGAAGCACTTTTCTCACTCCCGCTTCTCCTTCAGCCGCCAATGAAAACACCACCGGCCGCCCAATCTGATAAAAAAAACATATATATACATAACACCACCATTGTTAGCTCCAAGGGTAAAATCGTCATTTCATCTCATTCAACACGTTATCCATATAGGTGAAGGGTAAAATGGTCATTTAGTCCCCTTTAACATTTTATCCTGACTGACATTATTTACTCGGAAGGGTAAAATGGTTATTTCTTTTTGACTTACAGTAGAAAGAGACAAATTACCCATTCGGCACTTTATCCATATAGGACGATGGGTACAATGGTCATTTAGTCCCTTTTACACACATCATTTACTTGGAAGGGTAAAATGGTTATTTACTCTCGTTCAGACATATGTTATATATATGATTTTTTCTTTTTGACTCACCGTAGAAAGAAACAAATCACCCATTCAACACTATATCCATATAGGACAAGGGGTAAAATGGTCATTTAGTCCCTTTTAGCATTTTATCTTGATAGACATCATTTTCTCATAAGGGTAAAATGGTTATCTACTCTCATTCAAACATATGTTATATATATGATTGTTTCTTTTTTGACTCGCCGTCAAAAGAAACAAATCACTCATTCAACACTTTATCCATATAGAAACGAAGGGTAAAATGGTCATTTAGTCTCGTTCTGGTTTATCGTAAGCCATATATGTACTTATTTTTTACTTAATGCAGAAAGAACGACTTAATAAGAGAAAAACGTTTTCCCCAATACCTCTTCGTTGACATTGACATTGACAAATTACCCATACCCAAATATACCAAGGGTAAATTCGTCATTTACTCTCATTCAAAAAAGAAAGACTTAATCGGTTAAATTACTTACAAATATTCCGGAAGCTCCAAGAGCGAGTGCCTTAAAAACATCGGTCCCACGGCGGACCCCACCATCGAGGAACACGGGAACACGGCCCTGTGCGGCTTTCACAACCTCTTCTAAAGCCATGATGGTGGCGGGGACATAATCCAGCTGGCGGGCCCCATGGTTGGAAACAATAATACCCGCTGCTCCAGCTTGAATAGCTAACCTTGCTGTATAATTAACAAAAAAAAAAAAACAATTTAAAATAATTAATTTAATAACAAAAATAATAATAATAATAATGAGAGTTTTTTTAATTGTTCTTACTGTCTTCAGCAGTGATCACACCCTTCACTAGAATCGGCATTGTGGTGATTGTTTGAAGCCACTTTACATCCTACAAGAAAAATATATTTAAGACGTGAAAATCCATGAAACAATAAATGATTAAACTACACAAATATTAATTGTGGTTTCACCATTTTATTAGTTTAGACATGTAACCTTTTTCTATAGTGATTAAACATTTAAACTGTTATACTTATTTTTGGTCGTTTACAAAAGCAATTTTTTCTCATTACACGGGATAAAAATACAAAAAAAGCACAACATAGTTTCACCATTTTGACAATTTAGCAACTAAACTGTTAACTATTACTATAGTAATTATAAGAAAATAATAATTTGTTGGCTAAATCGATAAAATGATGAAAATACATTATGCTTTTTTTGTGTCATATTTTTATCAAAACTAGGTAAACCAAGAAAAAAAATATTTTTTTTTCCAATTGTCAACAAAGTATAATGATTTAATTACTACAAAAAAAAAAATAAAGTTAAGTGGCTAAATCGATATAATGATGAAAGTATGTTTTGCTTTTTTGTATTTCGCCCTTTGACCAAATAAAAATACCATTTTCCCACCATTATCCGAGGCAAAATGCAAAAAAGTGCAACTTTCTTTCACCATATTATCAATTTTGCCACGAACTAATTTCTTTTATCGATTTAGCCACTAAACTATTATTAAAATGATTATAAGAAATTAATATTCCAACGGTCAAAAAGGTAAAATAATGTAATCACTTCAAAAAATGATGAAAGTATTTTATGTTTTTTATGTATTTTTCACCCTTTGTGAAAATATTATATTTGAAAAAATATGAGGAAAAGACTAAAATGACCCTCACAAAAACATACCTTCCAGCTAAGAGTGCGATCAATCTGACCAGCAACATAAGAAGACAATCCAGAGTCATTAGCCTGCATTTCATAATTACATCAACAATCAAAACATGAATCCAAAAAGTATATAAAATTCTTTAACAATTTTTTTTTTTATTTATTATTTCCAGTATCAACAAATTAAATTATTTTTAAAAAAAAATAGTTTCAACTTACTTCATCCATCTTCCCAAGGTCCAAACCCTCAAAGTTCTTCAATGTCAAAAATGGGGGTAGTGTAAACCTGTCCAATTCACAAAAATAAAATAAATTGTAAAAGTGATGAAAACATTTACACGAAAGAGAAGGGCAAAATGGTCATTTTGGTAAACCTGTTTTTGATGTCAGCTTCTCGGCGTCCAAGCCTTGGTGTATCAACTGTAAGAGCAATAGCTTTAAAGCCTGCTTTTTCAGCTCTTCTCACAAGCTGAGCCACAACATTTCTGTCCTTATACACCTGATATTAATATTATGTTTGAAAATTGTTAATTTTTGAGATTAAGAAGGAAAAGAAGAGAAGGGCAAAACGGTAATTTTGCTCACGTAAAGCTGGAAGAAACGGATATTAATATTATTTCTGTTAACTTTACACCTGATATTAATATTATGTTTGAAAATTGTTAATTTTTCAGATTAAGAAGGAAAAGAAAAGAAGGGCAAAACGGTAATTTTGCTCACGTAAAGCTGGAAGAAACGGATATTAATATTATTTCTGTTAATTTTACACCTGATATTAATATTATGTTTGAAAATTGTTAATTTTTGAGATTAAGAAGGAAAAGAAGAGAAGGGCAAAACGGTAATTTTGCTCACGTAAAGCTGGAAGAAACGGATTCCAGGTCCGGTTGAAGCAACCTCCTCAACACTTGAAGTTGCCCATGATGACAAAGTCTATTATGAAAATCGAAATAATTATCAGAACATGATATATTTTTCATAATTTTAAAACTTAAAAAACAATGAAAATTTTATTAAATGAAAAAAATAGCATGGAAAAATACGTACCATGATTGTTCCAGCTGAAGAAGCAGCTCTTGCAGTTGCATACTCACCTTCATTCATGATAAATAAATAAAAAAATGATATTAAATAAGGAATTATGAGGATTTCTATTTGGTTTATAAATATGTCAAAGGTTTTGGAATGTGATCCTTTATTATTTCTTTGGAATTTGTAATTTATTGTTTGTTTTTTAAAAAGCATATTTGAACTAGTTTATAATAAGTAGTTATATAAATATTTGAAGTACCCTTTTAATCAATTCTTCTTCATGGAACTTTATGTACCTCTATTTTAGAATTAAGCATAATTACTAAATAACACAAAACAAATTTCACAATTTTTTTTTTTTTTTTTTGCAGATATAGAGTTATTATAAAATACTAAACTTACCATACACGAGAAATACTCAACATCAAGTTACTAAAATTTCAACTTTACTTATTTTATAGGTATAAATTGAAATTCCCATCTATAAAATCGTTAAACAGCATTTCTTTTTACAAATACAGAGTTAGATTTAGGAAGGGTATTTCAAATAAAATATCAATATAAATTTTTGGGTTTAAGAAGGGTATTTCAGTCATTTACACAAACAAGGAAGGATTGAAATGGAATCCCATAACTTTATGGAAAGAATGTTGAATTCCTTCACAAGTGGGATTCAGTGAAATTCCAATGGAATTCAATTCCATACTCATCATAACTGAATAGAATTGAACTCCAATTCCAACCAAATCCATGGAATCCAACAAACCAACCAAATAGGCAAATCTCTTTCTTCTTTATGACCAAAATTTGTTGTTTTTTTTTACTTTAAAATTAAAACAAAACAAAATTGTAATTACCATCAGGGTGAGCCATTTTCTGCATAGCTGTTGGAGCAACCATTATAGGCATGGAGATCTTGAATCCCAAAATTGTTGTAGTCATGTCAATCTTGCTCACATCAATAAGAATCCGAGGCCTAAACCTGTAATTCATTCCCAAAACTAAATCTTAACAACATACAACCACAAGGGTATTTTCGTAATTTCAGTTACAAACATATATCTACTTACAGAATTCTTGAAAAAGCATTTCTGTTCTCTTCTAAAGTCCACTGATCCTCAGCACCTGAAGCATAGTAGTCATACACCATCTTTGGTAACTTCTCCTTTGCAATAGCTTGATACTCAGTGACATTTGTGACCTCCATTTTTCTTCTCTATTCAGGTGGTTTCCCCCACAAAAATCTTGATTTTTACAGGTGAAATTCAAGAATCAGATTATCATATTCAATAACTTAATATTGCAAAATAATATGTGCATAAAAATGGAAAGAATGGAGCTTTATGATGAACCCATAAGTAAAAAATACGATAAAGAAAGTAAACCTTTTGGGGAGTTTAGTGTTTTTTGCTTCTACTGTGAGGAGCTAACTCCAAGTGAATAAACAAGCATAGATAAGCAACAAATTTGGGAACATTATTGGAAAAAGAAGAAAAGGACATGTTGTAGATAAAGTGATAGAAATTAGAAGAGGGTGTGTACCAAAAAAAATTTGAAAAAATAAAATTAAGAAAATGGATGAAGACAAATGAAGGAGATGAGTAATATGAGGTGAGAATTGGAAACCAAATCCAATTGAGGGGGAAATGTGAGGGGGGGAATCGGTGATTTTCCTCCACTCAATTTACTTTGTGTTTCAGAATTTTTTCTTCATTATCATCTTCCGCAATATATAAAGTATTTTCATTATCATCATCATCATCATCATCGTCATGTCTATTCATGTATGAATGTAGGGATAAATTTTACCTTCTGTTTTCTCTCTCTAAAAGTCGGCATATTTTTTTCTTAGATTAACGAGTTCACAGATAAGGATTCGTGAAAGGGTCCTTTTATCTCATCTGTACATCGTCTAGAATTCGTGAATTGAAGAATGGATTTGTAATTTCAGCTGTTTTGTAGCAGAAACTGTTTGTTGTATTCTTTAGATGAACTTTATCTTCACCACCCACCACAATCTGCCACCATCGCGATGCAATACCACCAGCATCACCAGGAAAAATAGGACAGAAATCAAAAGAGAACCAAAAGTTGTCATTGAAAAGAAACAAAGTAAAATGAAAGAACAGAGGATCAAGACACCTAAAGAACAGCAAAAACACATTCGTCGTAAAATTAAACCCTAGTCTGAACTAAAAGCTAGAAATTTTAGACAGAATAATTTGTAATTTCCACTTTGTTCCACTCCACAAATCAGAGAAGGAAGAAATAAAAACTAAAATAAAAGAACTCCGGATCAAAAATTTGGGAAATCGTAGAAGCTCAATCGAACCAAACAAACGTTTCAAAAGTAACAAACTTTTTTTAACCGACTACTGTAATACAAAATAGTAGAATTATTTATTTATTTATTTATTTATTTGGTTATGATGATCTTCTAACAATAAAAACAAAAATAGTAGAATTCTATTTGGTTTTATAACGAGGTTCTTTTGTTTTAAAAACAAGAATTTATATTTTGTTGGCATATTTAATATGCAATTTGTGGTTTCTTATGTGAGTTTCATTGACATGCTTTGAGATCGGCTTTTAGCAGCTCTAATATGTGATTACTTGGATTGGGCACAAATTAGGTAGTGTTTGTTTTTTGTTTGCAGATCTGCGAGATGTCTTCTGTCTGCGCCGTGCAGACCACGCGCAGACATTAGTCTTCGCAGACTGTTTGTTTTTTTAAAGACTGCAGACCTAAAAATGTCTGCGCGCCCTCTTCTTGGTGCAGATGTGGACCAGAGTTTTCTAACATCTTCAGACATCTTCTAGCTTAAAAAAACATATATATATCTTTATTTTTTTTAAGTTTTTTTTTAATTTATATTTTTTCCAACTTTATTAATGATAAACAATATGAAAAAAAAATTACAAAACTTAAAAAAAAAACATTTGACCATACAAACATGATATTTTTAACAAATTTATAAATAAAAATTTATTATAATAATAGTCGTTGAAATTGTTTATATAAATATGAAAAAAAAAATCATAATATATTCTTATATTTTTTTGCCAAAATTTTGTAAAATTTTATTTAATAGAGTATCATCAATTTCTCGAGAAAATATTTATCGTACGTTTTTAATAGATTTATTTGAAAAAATCGAAGTTTATTTCCATCTATTTATGTATCAAATTCTTTGATCACTAATTATAATGTTTAGTTATAACTTTACAATCAAAGTTGTTGGTTTTTATCAAATATGTATATGAATTAATACCATTTTTATTTTTATTTTTTATATAATAATACATAAAAGTTGATCTAGATTCGTTATATATTTATAAGAAAGTTGTAAAAATATATAAAAAATTCGCTTTGAAGTTTTAAAAAATCAGTTTATTTAGATTTCAGTTTATTTTAATAGCCCGCAGATGTTAAAAAAACAAACAGTTTTCTTTTTTCAGACTGCAGACGTTTGGTCCACCTCTTCTACTGCAGAGGTCTACAGATATGGTCCGCAGACTGCAGACATTTTGCCTCAGAAAAAACAAACAGCACCTTAGACACACACTAAAAGTTTATTTGCCCGAGTTTAATTTGGTAAATATAATGTTCTTTCTTTTTTGTGTACATTTCGACAATTTATCTAAAGTTTTTGGTTCTTGCATAAAAAAGGATTCTTTTTTGGTGTTTTCACAAGAACGATAGTTTGCATCAAAAAAACAATCACTCGGATTATATTGCAATTTGTATAACTTTTTTTTGTAAACTTTGCAATTTATGTAATTTTTTTGTAGCTATGATTTCTTTATAAAGATGTTGACTTTATACAAGGGTATTTTGATAACTTGCAAAATTTGTAATTTTGCTTGGGATTTAAAACTTAGGGCTTCAAGAAAAAAACAATTTTACCTAGAAAAATATTCTTCCAATTCTTCTTTTTTTTTTTTAAATTGTAGCATGGTTGAAAACCATTCATTTGAGTGGTTAGATAAAAATAAAAATAAAAAATAACCACAGTCTGTATTGGTTTTTATGGAATTTGTTCTTTATTTTAATGATATTTTAAATTTTTTGTTAATGTGTATATAATTAGGGTGTAGGATTAATTGTTGCAACCGGTGAAAGGGGTTAAAAATTTAAAATTTGGCACTCGAACAACAATCATGACTTTTGGAGCAACAGTTTTGTAAAATTTGTTAAAAATCGAAATCTTAATGATTTCTAGTGATGTATTTTTTTTTTTTTTTTTGAAAGATAACTTAGAGTATTATAATTCAGAAAGAAAATCTCAATTTTTGGTTAATAAATGAGTGAGATATGACAGTTCAAAGTGAGATAAAGAAATATGGCAGATTGTATGCATGATAATATGTTAAAAAAGTGAGTTTTCATCATTACTTTGAATCAATCTTTTGAAATATTTTAAAGATATCATAATAGAATTTTGATTTAGTCATGTTTCTAGAGATAAAAATATTTAAAATCATAAAATGCATACATGCATTCATGAAAAAAAATTGTTTCTCAAAAACTCTTAACTTGAGTTTGATATTTTGATCCATAAAAATCGATTTTGCACTAAGATCATGAAAAAGCAACCTTGTTTTTCATACATGCATGGTGTTAAAATGCTTCCATGATATTCTAAAAACCATTTTAACCATAACAAAACAAGTTTGAAGAAGATGAAGAAATAGCAGTCGATTTTGATGTTATATACATATGCATGGCTTAAATCAAGATTTTAACATAGGTTTGATCATGGATTTTCACCATTTAATACACATGCAACATTGTGAAAATCTACAAACATTAAGATAGAAGAAATGATTCTAGTCCTTGAAGGACATAAAATCCCAAAATCATGAGAAAACATGTTAGAACTTGCATCAAAATGAAGATGTTGAAGGATAGAATGAAGTCTCTTACCTAGATTCGATTTTTGGACTTCAAGAACACCCATCAATCTTCAAATTTTCGAGATTAAAGGTTGTTAGTGACTGATTTTAGAGTGTGTTTTAAGAGAGAGACTTCTTGGAAGATGGAAGAAGTAGTGGAGTAAAGTGTGAGAGTTAAAGAGTGGAGTGTTATAAAGAGAGAGGGAGGATGAATTTTGAAGGGTATTGGAGGGATTAAAGCTTTTTTTGGAACAGGTTTTTTTTTTGGAACAGCAGGAATTTTATTTAAAAAAAAAAAAAAAAAAAAAAAAAAAAAAAAAAAAAAAAAACTAGCAAGAAGCTAGAAAAAGAACATTACACCAACTTACATGCAGAAATAGGATTATGAAGCCAATTAGTTCATCCTATATTAGCTTTGCTACACCTATTCAAAACCAAAAAATAAGAGTTTTTTACAACGTCATAAAAAATTACTGATTTCATAGGCAATGTCGTTCCAAAAAGAATGCAATTACGAAAATTCCATATGCACCATAATGTCGTCATAATCACTGCGTCAAAAACTTTCTGTTGACCACTTCTCCAAGAGAACGAATTAGACCAAAACAATAACGAATCTATGGAAAGGTGTTGAGGAACATGAACACCCCACTAGATAGAAACTCTAGTCCAAAGTTCAATTAACTCACTACACCCAACAAACAAGTGATCAATAGACTCAATCGTAACAGAGCAAACTGGACACAAGATCGAATCCAATAAAATTCCCCTATAAGAAAATTTTGCTCGAGTCGGAAGGCCATTTAATCTTAATCTACATATGAAAATATTCAAGTTAATTGGAAACCAATTATTCCAATAAGTTTCGCCACCACCTGTAGACAACATCCCATTATTAATATAAGACCTAGCTGAAGAGACTGTAAAATAATCAGACATATCCAAGAGTCACCCCAATCGATCCGGACTGGAGCTAAGTTGTAAGCCCTGCATCAAAGTCAAAAAAGCATCCCACTGGGACTGCTCAATACCACCCCGAGGCACCCTCCTAAGAGACGTAGTATCCCAGCCCATCATCACCCTGTCACGAACTACAACAAATTTATGTTGATCCAAGGCATAAATTCTATGAAAACTCTCTGCAAGAGGCCTATCCCCTTTCCAAATATCCTACCAAAACAAAGTTTGACTACCATCTCCAACTCGAATTGGACTTAAAGAAAGCAAATCCAAACCACGATCAACCATATGAGACAGCAAAGAGGCTTTCTTTTATTATTATATAAACTTTAAGGTTTAGGGTATTTAGTTTTTTATGCTCATAAATAAAGCTAATGTTCATAAATTATTGCTTGGTAACATAATTCATGTTCTATGACCTATAATTCATTAAGATGTTGTTTATAGTATAAAATTTGAGAGGAAAATCAAATTTGATAAAGATTGCATTTATTTTATAAAATTTTGACACTTGTTATAAAGTTTGGACATTTTAAAGTATCACAATGGGTATACAATATATTGGATTGTTTTAAAATCTGTTAACACCATAAGTAATAAAGTTTAATATTTGAAATAATCAAATTAATCAATATAAAATACTTATATTTTGTAGCAAGTTACATAGTTTGATTGAATCAGATTATTTGCATTCCATGTAGTGGTTTTGAGATCCAGGAGAACTTGAATAATCAAATATACTAGTTCTAGTTTTCAGTTTTGACTGAAGTTCCTATGAGAATTTGACCTAATTTCTACTGCTAGGTCAAGTGTATGATATATCTACATGAATGTACAAAGATGCTCGAGTCAAGGAATGACCCGAATTTGATAGTGAACATAGTTAAAGTAGTTGTAGAATTCACATATCAATATGAAGTCTAAGTACACTATCAATCGTTTCTAATTATTTCCAAGTTTCTAGTAGGTGTAGGTCATGACTTATCTTCCAACTACCAAGTCTGTCATCATTACAAGAAAAAGTCGAAATAACTACAGAAAGATTCTGCAGCTAAAACATGATATTCCATAGTTAAAATCAATTAGCGACGGAATTTGCTATGGATCCATTATGTAGGAAAACTCTTCATTAGTAAAGATTCGTTACGGAATCCGTAGCACCTTCACAACGTAATTTACAATGGACTTATTTCGTAGAAAACTTGCTATGGACTACATCCGTAGCACCATCGTAGCAAATTAACTTGTAGCACCTGATTCCTGGTATGTATTCTTGATTATTAACTCTCCTTATGTATTGCATTTTAATCTTGGACTCGGCGAGTTGAAGGACTAACTTGCCGAGTAGAAGCAGGACTAGACGCGGGATCAGCTCTGTCTACTCGACGAGTAGGCTCGCGGGACTCGGCGAGTAGACCCTGTCTGGACTAAAACCCTAACTCGGGTGTTTGCACCCTATTTAAACGATCTAACCCAGCTTCCATTTCCCCTAGCACTCCCAAAGATCTGTAGAAAGAAACCCTAGCCCCTTTGTGTCCTTGTGGGTGATTTTTAGCATTGTGAAGGTGGTTTGGAGCTTGGGAGAAGAAGGAGAAGGTTGAAGAGTGCAAGAAGAGAAGAAGATTTGGAAT